GGACCAGTTCATTTTTTTAACTGTTCGACTGAATGTCAAACTATCAGATTCCTGCAATTTCCGTATTAATCTTGATATGTTACTAAGCGAAAACACTTCCGCACTTCCGTAAGCGAAAACACTACCGTTATGATTGTGTGACAGGGGCTTGGTGTTTTGAAAAGTAGTTTTTATTTTTTTTTTCTTTTTATATTTCTGTATTTAAACGCATGATATGTATCTATGTAAGTACGTAAGTGTACTGGCGAATGAATAAATGAAATGTAAAAAGATTTATCAGAAATTGTTGTGCCTAGCAATGAAGAAGAACTGAAATGGTTCCCGAATTAGACACTGGCCACTTGTTATTTATTAATGAACACGGTAATAGTAAATTAAATTTGTAGGCATATGGAGAGATACCTTATGACCATTATCAAATGACTACTGGTAACGTTGATGGTAAGTGGTGCTCGAGTCTTTGAAATCAACAATTATAATGCATTTTAGAGTTGGCAACATATGCCTTTTACGATATTCTGAGAATTTATGATTATGCGAAAAGCACAGGAAATAACTAACGTGCGTAAGGTTATTGTTGCTGAGATCAAGAGAAATCAATTCCGGTATGCCATCAAATGCATACTGAGCAATTATATGCAATCGGTTCCGAGATAAATCCAACCGTTGCAAACTTTTCAAACCCGAAAAAGTTTCCGGTTGTAAGCTTGTGAGCAAATTGTTGGACAACGTTAACTGTTGTAAAGCCCCGAGCTCTGCGAACAGTGACGGTTCCAGTTTGGTAAGCTGATTTGAAGAGAAATCCAGTGACTAAAAAATGATACAGAGTGAACAAAGGAACTGTTGGTTTTCACACAGGAACTGTTTCCTCAGAGCTTTCTTCCAGTTTTTCTACATTTCAGTTTTCGAAGGAGTTTTCCTCAGAGAATCACATAATGTTCTCTCTCTATTTTGAACCTTTCTTTTAAGTTACTACTATTATCTGACGCGTTTTTCGCTTCATTTATGTATTTTTAATTCGCTAATCATTTTTTCTCAATTATTTTCAGAAGCAATCTTAAATTTTTAACGCTTACACTTCCCACTTTTACTGGGTAGTATATATTCTAATGCCCCTATGCTAAACACACATTACTTTTTTAGCCTAGCAGAGTGAGTTTTGCCCAAAGGTATTGTAGGAATGCGAACCAGTGGATTGAAATCATTTTCGAAGCAAAACCTGTCAGAACTGGGCGCTCATTACGTGGTAATTTATGAACAAATTCGATTTTTTTTGGATGAGGAAAGGAAGAGAACAAGAAGGAAGTGAGGTAAGGTTACTGCTGAGGGAAGTAAGAAGTAAGGAGGAGGAAGGTAAGAGAAGTAAACCATTATTACTTCCTGTTTCCTGCAGTTGAGAAGCGTTTGTAAGTGATCAAAATGAAAGTATGGCTGTTTTACA